ATTGAGAACCTGACCCTACAGGACAGTGGGCGATACAAGGCATACAGCAGGTTAAGTGATGGACCAGAAGTTTTCCAAATTTTCCACCTCAAGGTCTATGGTAAGTGACACCTTCTCACCCTAACCCATTGGCTTCCTCCTTATTTTGACTGTAGATGTTTCATAGACCAAATTTTGCAGGATTCTATTCAGATTCCAGTCACCAGTATGTAATTTTTCTCCTAAAATGGAGTGTGTTTAATACAAACAAAGAGCAAAATGGAGATTTGTATCAGAGAGAAAATCACTTCAGAGATTTGGGGGAAAATGGGAATTTGGGGATATTTGCAATAACGTTAAAGTAGGTTTAAATTTACTTAATTTGTGTGTTAGCTTTCTATTGCAGCTGTAACAAATTAACATGCACTATAAACACTACAAATGCATTAAAACGTGCCTTATGAGAAATCAGACATGGTTCTCCCTAGGCTGAAATCACAGAGCAGCAGGGCTGTGCTCCCTTCTGCAGGCTCCAGAGGAAAACAGCCCATTCTCTCACCTTGCCAACTGTTTAGTGGTCACAGGAGTCGCTCAGCTTGGTCCCCTTCCTCTGCCTAAACCCACGTGGCTGGGCTGCGTCCTTCCTCCACTGTGTCCCTCAGACCTGCTCTTTTCCATTGTTCTTCAACTTTTCAACATCCTAATGATGATCCTGAGCCCATTTAGCTTATCTGCAGTAATCTCCTATTTCTTTTTGTTTTTTTTTATTCTAAAATAGTTTTAGTAAATAAAGATTCATCTTTAATAAAGTTATTCATGTCTCTATATTATAGCACATGTTTTAGTTAAATCTGAAATCAGTCATTTCCTTTGATTTTTTTTTAGTTCTCCCTCTCATGAATTTTATTTTTTGAATGTTCTATACAGCATCTTTTCTTGTAGCTTTTTAGAAATTCTATTTATTGGTACAGTTTAGATATCCATAATGATCACAGGCATCATAGGGAATTTGTAACTGTACCCGATAGATCTTGATTCCTCTTTTATCCCCTCCTCTCCCTTTAAGCCCCGCTTCCTCTCATTATTTAGAAAACTTCGTTTCCATTTTATCCTTCTTTTCTCATTTTTCTTTTCCCTTCATTCTTCCTTTCCCCCTTCTCCCTCCCCCCTTCCCTGTTTCCCTTTCCTTTTGAACAATTTCTTCCTATTACACAATATCTATTGTATATTTTGGTTCTTATGTACACTTATAGTTTCTCATACCAAAGAGAAAATGCTGTATTTACATGTATTTGTTCAATTTATTTCACTTAAGTGTATGGTTTCAAGGTACATATATTTAGCTATAAATGTCTCAGTTTCTCCTTTTTTTAGATCTGTGTAGCAGTCCACAGTATTAAGATAAAACACATCTTCTTTATCCATTCATCATTTGATGGGCACTTGGTTGTTTCCAGAATTTCAAGATCAGCTCTTCTGTGTAACCCGCTATATTCCCAGGTTCTGAGGATTAGGATATGGGCATCAGTGGTTACAATTTCCCACCACAACTAAATACACTAAATCCATGTGTATTTAGTCCTCAGGTTCTCACTCTTGCCGTGCAGCTCCAGCCCAAGCCCAAGCTGGCTTCCAAAGACCTCCACCATTCCAGCTCTCCAAGCCCGGAGAACTGTAGGAGAATATTTACTGCTGTATACCTAAGGAAATCTGCTTCCCTGACTTTATTTTCTTAGAATCCCTCATCTGTCATGAAGAGCAGCCTTCACAGCTGGAAGTCGCTTGTGTCATCCCAGGGCTGGCTGGTGATCCTGACTTTTGTCTTCCTGTCTGAAGCACAAGTTCAGGGCACGATGTAACCATATGCAGATCTGTCGCCCCGGTCATGACCACTGCATCTCCACAAATGTCTCTGCTTTTGAGAGATGGAGCTTCTCTGTGCCCTCTCAGAGATGGCCTGATGAGAACTGAACTGCCCCAGGCAGTGTCTGAACTGGAGCTGCAGGAAAGGAAAGGTTACCGCATCAGGAGGAGCTCTTCTGTCTCCAACCTTTTCCCATGTCAGAAAAGAGCCAAATTAATTGGAAGTAATGGTCCATCGAAGGAGTACTGAGCTATCTTTTGCTCACAGGGAAATTTTAGGACTTCCTCAGTTACGGAAATCACAAGAGGCTTCTACTGAATACTGTCACTTGCTCAATATTTAGCTTGAGGCAAATTGTGTTTTATTTGAAAATTACTACTTCCTTCCTTAGAGGGCATTCTCCTGGTTTTCACTGAGATAATGTGTGACATGTAATATATTCCACACATGTGAGACTCTTCTTTGTCGCCCTCTTTCCCAGAGCCTGTGTCCCCTCCACAGATCCTGGTTCAGACATTGTCCATCACACCAGACTGGTGCAACTTCATCTTAGAATGAAGTGCCACAGGGGCCACAGAGAACCTGAATGTGACCTGGAAGAGGAAGGGTCTCCCCAGGGAGCTGGAGCAGAGAGGGACACTAAGATTGTCCCCCAACACCTGGGTCCAGATTGTAAGCCTGCCCCTGAGCCAAGCCAATGCCAGCCTCACCTGTGTGGTCAGCAATCCTGTGGACCAGAACAATGCCACCACAGACCTTGGTGTCATATGCTTAAAACGTGAGTGCCATCTTCTGGAGGGGAGGGCATCCTGGAACTCATCCTGGAACTCAGGCGGCCCCAGACTTCTCTCCTTGCCATGCTCATTAGCACCATCACCTGCACATGGTCACCCCACGCAGAACTCTGGGGTCACATCCAACCCACATCTGCCTGTAAATGTCCCTCACATCTTGCCCCTCCTTGCTGGTCCACGCAGCAGCCATCCAGTACCTCTCCCACTCTGGGTACAGAGTGGGCTTTGGAAAAGCAGATCAGATTGTGGCATACATCAGGGTCATCTCTGCATCTGACCTCTAATTATTCCTGTAGGATTCAGGGCTCACAAGTTCTCTGTTCACGTTGTCTATTCACGAATACACTTCACACAGAACTGCCGCTATAGCCCCTGATTGTGTGCTGCCACAGAGCACCTTTAAAGTGTCACCTCTTTTAGGCTGTCCAGGCCACTCTATACTCAGAAATGATCGGTGTACTTGAATCCTCTATAAATTGGAATGCCTTCAGGGCCGAGGACACAGTTTTCTCTCTCTTTGGTCTCTGGGCGAAGTACAGTTCTGAAAAACATTTGCTTGCCTTAGGTTTTTTATTGAAAAACTAAATGACCTGGGAACTGTGTGCAATCTTGTCCTCTTTAAACCTCCCTCCAGGAGCTAGTGTAGGCACTTGTCATGTCAGTATCAGTTCTACTCCCTTTTCACGTCCTCCACCCACCTCTCCTCTAGGAATCTCAGATAAAGTTCCACTCTTAGCATAACCACTCGCGCTCAGGACTCAGCTCTTTCCTCCCTGTGATCCTGCTCACTTATAGCTCCTCCCTGCCCTGTCCCTCCCCTGCAGGAATTCTCACTTCCCGCTGAATATCTGTGAAACTCCTACTCTTCCCCCGGGACACAGTTTACCCCATAATCTTCTTTAGAAAGCTTTTCCTGAAGGCCTTTTGCAAAGTTAAAGCTCTGTTGTAGTGAGAGCCCTCTGTCTGGAAGCTGGTACTTTCTGCCTTCCCTCTTGGATGCTGAATTTCTCAAGGGCACCAGCCTGCCTCGTTCACGTCAGTGTCCAGCACCACGCAGGAGCTGGACAACCGGTTGAATGATGAATCTTCATGCCCCTTCCTTTCAGCTTCAGAGTCAGGGACTCTGCCTTCTCCACCTGCCACTCCTCTCACCCTGGCAGTGGGTATCTTAACTGCTTTAACAGTTCTTTACTCTCTCATTGTAGGGGAAACAGGTGGACAGTCTGCAGCTGGCCTCATAGGAGGGTTACTGGGGGGCTTCGTGGCTGTGCTTTTGCTTCTCGGAGTTGGACTATATTTTTGGAAGATTCGTGAGAAGAAGAAAATGACGGTGGAACAAAGCAGGTTGTACTTCCCCTCCTGTATTCAGAGACCTTCCCTCTCTCCAAATGGACTTTGGGCTCCCTTTGTTCACTTTGCTGGCAGGAAGTGTCCTGCAAAGGCAATGGTGGGTGTAAACATGCTGGCCTTGGGTTCATAGTGCTGGGGGAGTGTTACTTGTTTCCCTGGCACAAAATCAACTCCTCTCTGTCCATGACTCAAGGGCAAGACTGCAGCAGGATGAAAATATCTTCAAGGATGACATCATGTATGCAGATGTTATACATCAGAAATATCAGAAGGATAAGGACAAGGTGAGAGCTGGGAGTGGTGGCCAGCCTGGCCACTCACAGGTCACCCATTGCCCACCCTGGGCTTCCTAATCTCAGATACCTGCTATTTCTGTCTCTACTGTTCTTACCTCTATTTGTAATATTGATAGCATTAACTTAGCACAATTATAATTGACCAATGTAGTACTGGGTGCTTTGGGGAAATTCATAGGCATTTCATGTTAATGGATAGTGATGGTATCTAGGTGTTTCTGGGGGTACTGTATGCACCCCAGGCTTCTTCGGAGCCCTCTGTTTTGTGTTCCCAGGGTACTGATGAACATCTAGAAGAAGGTGGGCCAGCCATTCCTATCTACAGCGAGATTTGTGCCCTGGGAGAGCCCTTGAGACAATTTAATTGAAGGAAACAGAGAACCAAGCACTCCCAGGACAATTGCACTCTGAACCTGACATCTGCAGTCACCTACTTCTGGCTTTGTTTCAGCTCCTGTGGCCCTGGGTCTGGATTAGCCTAACCTGGTGACCATTCCTCCCTGTGCACAGGTGGTCCTATCACTTCTTCCGATAGCTCCTCATTGTTTCTGCAGACTCAGAATCCTCACGCCTGCAAGTGAGGGTTCTTCCTCAGTCATCGATGTGACCCCTGAATATGCTCCATAAGCTTTCCCAAGAGAACCCTGCCTGACTCAGGGGAAATCCCTCCCTCCACTGCATTGTTACAAGTCTGTCTTTTGGGAATAGAGGCCCAGGCATGGGAACTGTGAAGGGTTGCTCAGCATGCCACAGAGGAGAGAGTTAGGATGGGTTCTGGATTGTGTGCTGATGGGAGCACCAACCAGGGTGGGAAATC